GGAAAGAGGTCCCTTGGGCAACGGCTGAAGTCACTAGTGCGTCCAGGCCTTGGTCAGAGATGTTCTTGTGCAGACATGAATCTCTTTGGAGCGATTGCTTGCGCTAGCCTGCCAAAACATTTCTTCACATTTCTTCGTTTGAGTGTGAGGGCTCTGACTGCAAATCCGGTGCTCGAGCCGGTCTCGCAGAGTGTGAGACTTGAGTTTGCACCATTCCCGCCGTTCAAGAACGGCCGCTCTTTCGTTTGCCTCGAGGCAATTCCGTGACTGCTCCAGCCCTCGTTTCTTGTCACCACCTTCCAGTGTTGCCTTCGGCCAAATTCCATTTCTGTTGCACAGAGTCCTTTGCTAGAATTCCGCCACTGCAGCGCCAACCTGAACAGATTCTTCGCAGCTTCCTGGCTCGTCGGCTTTCAGGCTTCTTGGCTTGTTTTCTTTTGGCTTCCTTGGCTTCTTGTTTTTTGGGCTCATGGCTTGGTTGCTTCCTGGCTTCATGGCTTCTTAGTTTCCTGGCTTCCTGGCTTCTTGGCTTGCGGGCTTCCTATTCTACTATTAGTACTGTAGTCTCAGTCGACCATGATTAAAATGCTTTCTCATCATTACCATTGTTACTGCAATTTTTCCTGTTTGTTGCTTACTGTTACCATTACGTTACTTGTAGTACTCTTCTCACCCTTATCAATACTGTGATGATTGCTTTGATTTCTTTTTTACAGCCAGTATTGTCTTCTTGTCTCGCAGGGAGCGCCCTAAATCCCAACAGATTGAGCTCTCGCATGCAGCCTTCTCACCATGACGCCAAATTGAGCTCTGGCGTAGAGCATCCTCAAATTTCGGATCAAAATTGAGCTCTCCTGGGAGCCTTCTCATCTTTTGACACCAAATTAAATTGAGCTCTGGGGTAGAGCGTCCTCAAATTTCGGCCCAAAATTGAGCTCTCATGTGAAGCATTATGGAGCATCCTCACATTGTGTGGAGCATTCTCACATTTAGACACCAAAAAGAGCTCCGGCGTAGAGCGTCCTCACATTTCGGATCAACATCGAGCCCTCTCGTGGAGTGTGCTCACATTTTGGTCTGCAAAATGCCAGGGACTCAACAGAAAAGGAGATTAAATTAAATGTGATTTTCATTTCTTATTTGATGAGCCCATGTTCTCAAACTTGTGGCGGTGTGGCCTTCGGTCGGATTCCGCCTTGGGTGGTGGTTGTTTCTGCATTCAATAAAGTGAGTAGAGTAAAGCTCAACCGCCGGACACAAACTTCCGCCATCCAAGACCATTCGCTTGAATCAGAGCATCTCAAGGCCCTTTCCAGTTTCAGCATGTTCTAACCAGGAATCGAACGGACTTGTCCGCAGAGTTTTGAGTTTCAGGACAGCGTTTGATCCGTTTCCACTTCCGAATATCACAGCCCCACATCTTGGAAATTGTATTCAAGACACTTTCATCTGATCTTGAAAAGTTCGGCAGGAGTGGAAAAGGGAGTGTGGGCTTGCAAGCCAGAGGGCTCTCGGTTTCCCGGGTTCAAGACACTTCAAAGCCCAGAGAGGTCTCAATGTCCGAGCCAAGACTTTGCTGAGCTGTGCATGGACTCTATCTGAAGACTCCACCGCAGCATTTTAATCAAAGGACAACGAGCAAATCTGGAAGCAAAACTTTTGGCAACTGGATGTCAAGATATTGTGAGTACAGGTTGCAGGCAACGACAAGTACCCATGCACCTCCAAGCAAAGTCTGCGCTTGAGGCCTTTGGAGGGTTGCGTCTATCAAGAAAGTCAATCAAGAATCTGGACTAGGCTTCATACGGCATCCTGTGATGCTGAAATACATCACCAGCGATTTTTTTCGTGTTTGCAAGGCCCTTCACCTCCGCCTGTGCCTTCTGCCAAGGACAGTGCTCATTACCAACGGGGCCCACGACCTCGCAGCCTTACAAGTCCAAGACTCAGTACAAGAAACATTCACAGGAAAGCTGCTTCCACTGCATTTGGTGCTAAGTGCAGCTGTGTATGATCAGACGGACACGACAGCCCTTCAGCCCAAAAAATCACTTTGTGATTGCGCATTTTTCATTCTGATATGCAAGCTTTCCTGCCACATACCTCCAAGTCTCACGGCCAGGCATTCTGGTGCGTTTATATGCTGCATCTTCTAACTTTAAATTGTTTCTAGAGATTATACAGCCTGTGAGGCTCAGACTTCAGGCTGACGAGTGTTTACCACTTGTTTTTTGTTCAGTGCTTCCGACTACGATCCAGCCTCAGAAAAACGTCAGCTCCCTCATTGGGCCCATGCATTTGATCGCCATCGAGCTTTTGTACTGTCAACGTTAACTGTCGCATTCAGAGTCTTTATACTTTGCAACCTGATATAACCTGAATGTTACAAACTATCATGAGCTATTTTCCAACAAAGAGTTTGTATGGAGTTGATACGGGAATTTCATGTAAGGACCTCACATGAAACCTGACTATAATACGCATGATACACATGTCAACATAACAACATTGCCCGGGACTGTTCGAGTGGTTCTGACGTGTTCGAGTGCTTCCGACGTATAGACTGCTTTGCAAAGCTACCAGACATCAACCTGTGTGAATGTCGCCGTGGCGACTATGCATGCGACCACTGCCGGTCTTTGAAGCCGTGGATGCAGGGTCATTTCCCTACATCATTTGGCGCTGGCGTTCCCCTCCCGACCATGGCAGCATGTCATGTTGGATTTGGTCACTATGAGCAGGATCAAGCGCATGTGGTCTAGAATGATGTTTAGTCTTCAGACTACTAGTCTAGTTGAGGCCTTCTTGCACAAGAGCGGCCATGAGCTTCCATAGAATGATCGGCTTTTCACACCTATGTGAGCCGAAATAGCATTCTGCCGGTCAGTTTATGATGTGTAATTCGGATGATACTTATTGAAAAGACTAGGCCTGGATACAACTCTCCAAGAACAGAGGATGACGCAACCTTACACTTAAGCAACTGATTAAGCCATACGAAAGCACACCCCAGCTTGGCAACCACTGGAATGACGGGTGACACAGCGCAAACCTTTTTGAATTCAGTGTCCACGTGTCCTTGCACAAGCCTGTCAAGGTGCTTCAGCACAGCAGACCTTACCGTACCTGCCCCTTCCCGTTTTCTTTGTTTCATCGTGCAGTCGTCTGACGACATGCATGAAATAAAGGCCTCAGCGGCAAGGGGGGGGTTCTTATTCATAGTTTGGAGGCTCCGAAGAGGTCAGGAAGCGAGCAGCTTGAAGCCTGGCAGATGAGATGTTTTTTGAGGGAGTCGTGCCAGAATGGATGTCTGGTCGGGAGGAAGTGATCTTGGCCAAGGGGTGTGTGTGACAAAACGGTCCGCGCCATTTGAAGCCCTCACCGAAATGGTGAGAATGGTCGTTGGTTTGAAGCTTAGGTTCAGGAAGCGGCTTGGGGATTTGGGGCAACAGGTCGTGAAATGGGTCCTTGCTGAGGGGCGGTTTCTCCTTGGCCAAACAGTCCTTAGTTACTTAGTTCTAATCCGTGCTGCTGCGAGTGTCACTTGCAGCGATCCGCTTGTCTGTCTGGGTATAATAGAAAATCCAAAGGAATTAGGGATCCCCTTGACATCCTAGGTTTTGGTTGATTTTCATATTGGTTTTATAAAGGATTGTATATAGAACTGAATGCGATTCTAATTGATTTTATTACAGTTTTAGCCGTACTTAATTAAATCTCAATTGAATTTCATTCGATTTCAAATGATTTTCAATGGATTTTGATCGATTTCATTTGATTTTAACAGGAATCTTAATTAAATTTCTATTGATTCTAACGGGATTTTAATTCGATGTCAACTGATTCTAAAAGGAATTTTAATTAGATCTCTATTGATTCTAACAGGATTTTAATTCGATTTCAATTGATTCTAAAGGGAATTTTAATTAAATCTCTATTGATTCTAACAGGATTTTAATTCGATTTCAATTGATTTTAAAAGGAATCTTAATTTGATTTCTATTGATTCTAACGGGATTTTCATTCGATTTCAATTGATTTTACAAGGAGTTTTAATTCGATTTCAATTGATTTTAAAAGGAATTTAAAGGCGGCCCTACCAAATTCTTTCAATAAATGTGACACCCTAATAATAAACAATTTTTGAGCCCCCGGATTATTTCTTATTGGGGGGGGGACGTCGTTTATTATTAGGGGGAAGCGATTATCAAAGGCAAGAGCACGTGAAGTCATCAATGAGTGTGTCCATGTCTGCGTCTCAGGCTCCGAGGCTGGAGTGATGGGGCCAGCATGAGCTTGGCCCAACCCTTGGGGCTTGGGCCTGGGTTTCTCCGTACATGGCACGGCAGAGCATCGCAAAGTGAACAGTTTTTGACAATTGCGCTGGTTCTAGGCACGAGGACCCTGAAGATACACTGGAGCTAGACCCTCCTTCCTCTGGTTGGCTGCCAAGTATGTTATTCGGCATCGCAGAAATGTGTCTGCAGTTCTGCAGTTATCCGACTCTGGCACATTCTTGCGGAGGTTCTTGCATGGAGGCCGAAGTCCCCGCCGAAGCTGTGCAGAGCTTGACACCGGTCGCCGGAGCCTCACTGCTAGGCTTTGAACTGTCAGTTATGCTGCGCCATGCCCAAGGAAGCTCAAGTTCCCAAAGTGGAATCCATTTCCAGCCTGTGACGCCGTCTCTGGCCACCGACTGGCTGCTGTAAACCAGCACTCCGGAATCACCTTCATCTCAAGCTGCGTGGTGCTAACAGGCTAACATGTTGCAATATGAAATTATGATCAAGAGACGGAACCATCACATTTTCCAGCAGTGACGTTTCACCTTCTCACATGAAGAATCGATTTCGCGTTGAAATGAGTAAGAGCCCAGTGTTTGCCCTTATGCATACGCGTTGTCTAGTCTGGGCCAAAGCCCTACGAGAAAGGCGCTTCACCTGCCTCGCTGGGTGAAGAGACCCATCCTGGAGATCTATTTCTAGCAGAGCAGCTGCCAGGACAAGCTCCAGTACCGGCTGTTCTCGGACGACGGGGTTCTGACAGCACATTAAGATCTTGGCTCCAGGTCTTCTGGCAAAACGCTGATTCGACCTTGCCTGCCAGGATTTCTTGATGTATGCTCGAGCTAATCTGGAGGCGGACGGTGCTAGGTAGAAGACTGAACGCAGTAGTGACTTTGGAGCGTGCTGTCGTAGGCACGTCAGGTCTCCTTCTACCTCTATAATCCTTGCGAGAAGGGCGTGCACCTGTACAACGCAGACAAGCCTGAGTGCTCAGCTGATTCCACACCTTGTGCATACTACATTCATGTGTTGATTCGCAGCCGCTTGAGCGCCTTGGGCCGGTTTAGCTGCTGCCGTTATTCTTTGCTTTACGTGCCGGGACCGTGGTGGCTGCAACCAGTGGCTTGTGGCTTGCAATGAGGATACCAGGTGCACCGCTTCAATCAAGCGGAGCACAAGCGGACATACCTCCCTAAAAATGCCTTGCAATTCCTGCCAGCTGGGCGCTGTCTTATTGTGAACTGTGTATGGCTGCATAGCAGAAGGGATCTTGCTCCTTGTAAGTCCATCAGCTGAGGGGACTCAAATAGATAGATGCCTGGAAGCTAGTGGGCATACTCTCAGATGTCTCAAGCACTGAATGGCGTGCTCGTCTTCTTCAGAAGGGGTCGGTGAGATGCCTGATGGCTTTAAACGGTCTCATAAGCAGTATGTTAACGCGTACTTCCTGAATTGAGTAATTTGCTGAGGCCAGCCTTTTCTATGACATGGAACACAGCCGGGGGCCAAGCTCACATCCTGTTCCCCGGCAGTGGGCCATAGGTTTGAGCAATTCTCTTGGAGGCAGCTGTTTTTTACCGCGGCACAGGATAGAACCGAATGGCGCATCGTGCAGGAAAGATGTGAGAATTGTCAGTCCTCCCGGCTTGTTATGGCGGATGATGGAGGCTCCTGCTGCTCAAGCAACCCTTGCCCGTATGCTCTGACAGATTTTCACCAAAGCATTTGACCTGCTCCTGCTACGGGAAGCAGCAGGCCAAACAGGCTCAGCTTGGGAACTCCTGGCCAAAACACTTCGGGAGGTCGCGTGGATACGGCACCATAGAAAGCCAGTTGGCGACGGCATCTTCAACTGCATGGAAATTCACGTGCCGCGGCCGATGTTGGCGAGCAGACCATGTTTTGTTTGAGCTTGCATCGTGTTCAGGTGCCAGGTCTATATTCAGATGGCAGCAGGGTGGCAGGGAGCCTAGGGATGTTGATGTGAGAGAGGATTTTGGAAGAATTGCATCTGAGGTCTGGTGCCCGCTCCTAGGAAGAGGGGATCTCTCTGTTCCTGTTGATGAAAGCTATGAGGTGCACTGTAGATCGGGTGAACATTTCTGCGCATTGAAGGAAAGAGTTCTTGCAGGCGCAACGACTGGTCACCAAGCAGCCGACTTGGAATGATGAGGCATGGACACAAGGAGCTGCAGAACTCGAGGTGCAGCAGGGTCCTCTTCTCCGGAGGTCGAGAGCCTTGTGCTGGACTTCAAGGGCAGGCACATCCTCTCCTCAGCAAAGAACTTCCAGCTGGCACTGCCCAAATCACAGCTGCCTCTACATGGAGATGTTTGAATCAAAGAGCAGCGACGCCGACATGTTGTGAAACTCCGAGGTCGCAGAAGCCTGACCACGTCCTCTGCCAGTGATACGCTTAGGTATGCTTAGGCTTAGTGTGCATTCAACTTGGCTAAGTGGACCCTTTTCTCATCGGCTCAGGTACGGGAAAATTGGTCCCCAAACTTTCAGCTTGGACTTCAAGTACCCCCATGCAAGATGGGATGTGAAGGGAGTTCCGGCCTGCTGTCAGCGTTGGCCGCAGGTATCCACTTAGTGTGGTCCAAGCCTTTGGGATCTCGTTAACGACTCTCTTTTGGACTTGATGCCTGGGTGCTCAGAGTGTCGCAGCATTGCTGCACTGGCCAGCTTTTTCTGTTTGAGCTTTCAACTTTAAGGTCAAGTTCTGTGAGTTCCTCAAGGCTCCCGAGGCTCAGACAGGTCAATGGCCATTGGCACTTGGCACTGTCTTAGCAGCCCAGGGTTGTCGCAACGTTGAGTTCAGGCTGTGCCAAGAACTCAAACCTTTCGTGTGGCTGGGCGTTTCCCGGCCGTACGTCGCACCACATTCGGCAGTGAGACTGCATGCATGGTCTGTTGAGATCTTCGGCTGTGCAGCAGTTGCAAAGTGGCACAGGAAAAACATAGCACAGGATATTTGCTATGTGAGCCGCTGCCTTGCATGGTCTCGAATTTGTTAGGCTGCAGGGCACCCGCCTCAACCCCAGCCGCTCCTGCTGCACGCGCACGTGCTCGTGAGGTTTGCATGTTCGAGGTGTGGCTTTGCACTTTTCCGGAGTTGGATTGAACACGGTGTTGTGTGCGCTGGGCGGCCACAAAGCCAAGTGCCACTTAGGTGGTGTTGGCAGGACTAATTCGGATCCAGCAAGTTGAGCGGTGAGGGCACTGATGTGCATGACCTCACATGGCCATGACAGGATATTATTTGGGGCCAGGCTTGCCGGCAATGCATGTGCTCAATGCCCTTGATGCTTTTAAACGGTGCCCGGAGCTACGTCAGGCTCTGTAGAATTCCAGCCACGTGTAGTGCCAGACAAACTGGTGAGATAGGATTGTCTACGCATTGTGAACTGTTTTTTGGATCTGGGCGACGATGGTTGTTGCAGCGTTCACTCTTCTTGGTAAGTCTATCTTCCCTCAGATTTCTTGGCAAAGCAAACAACTGTGGGTTGCCTAGCCAGAGCAGACGAGTCGCTTGATGCGCACTCACGTCTACGAAGTTCGCGCTCTCCGACTGCGGACCCTAAGAGACTTGCTCTGCTTCGCTTGGAGGGTTGTTGCAAGCCATCTGCTAAAGGTGTTGCTACCAGTCTACAGAACTGTTGGGGCGATTAGGCTTGGCTCAAGCACAAGCAGCTATCGCAATCTGACACCTGTTTGGGCCAGAGAGTTTGGCCCTTCGTTTGATCACGGCTTTCCATGTGCAAGGAGACGTGCAGACTGAGGCGCCATGGACGCGACCATGGGGAGCATGGCCCCCACCGGGCTCAAGGGGAAGCTGGCGGCGCTTGAGGCTCCCACCAGCTCCCGCAATCGCTAACCTGAATGAGTGAGGGAAGGAACGTAATTTGGCTGACTAGTTCATACGTAAAGAGAACGCTATAGGCAACAAAGAATCTCGAGGCCCAAGAAACTTTGTACTAGCTCTGGGGAGCAGCTGGGAAAATTCTTCCAGGATATGAGACCGAGGTTTTTGCTGCTGGCAGCTACCATACTACATGTGCCAGGATTTTATCTCCATGCAGAACGAAGAGCTGGCTGCGCAGCGTCAGGATCTGTTCCAGAGTTTGCAGGTAGCACGGTGATGCGCAGCGCATGGTGGGGAATCTGGCAGGAAATTGAGAGCCTTCGTGGCGACAAGGCTGGCATCGAGGCCTGTGCTCGCCAGCAAGGCAGAATACATAGACTCGACTTGGCCTTCGGGGGCCTCTGGTGCCAGGAGCACTACCAGGGCCAGCTGCAGGAGCTGAAGAAGACCATGGTCGGCGACGTGCAGCGGCTGCAGGACACTGCGCGCCACCCGTTTTGCAGTGTCAGTGACTCTTCCTGGAAGCAAAGGACGAAGTCAAGCGGCACTTTGCGCAGCAAAAGGCCGAAAACGCTCGCCGATCGTGCATGTTTGGAGTAATGCATGTTTTCCTATCGTACAGATCTGCCTGCTGAAATGGTGACAGGTTTGCAACAGCAAGTCACCACCTTGAAGGGCGAAAAGACGCAGTGAGCTTGGCATTCTTTGAGATTACACAGATCTGCGGCAGCATGCGGCAGGCCAGGGCAGGCCAGGGCAAGCCATGCAGAGATAGGATTGCTAGGTGCCAAGGTCAAGACACTCAACTTGTCAAGGTCCTTGCAGCAGCAGATCCTCGGACTCCAACGGCGAATCCAAGAAATCGAAGAGCAGGCCAACGTTTTCATAACTCTACCTTTGGTGTGGTGGGATGTGATGATCGAGCAGGTTGGTGCTGATTAGGATGCCTATGGCATTGTCTCAAATTCGCGAGGCCACTTGATGCCAAGTCGTTTTGAATGACATGACGTGCTTGGGTTTCGCTGAGCTGCAAGGTGGCGGCAGCTCATCTCAAGATGCACTGCGCCGTCTGCACCGTGCAATTGGAATTCAAACATCTCACCAGCATGGACCTCATGGTAGTCTAGGGGGCAGCAAGTTTGGAAGCATCGGCTATTCTCTTTCCAGAGCCCTATGAAAGCTTCTCGGACTCTAGGAATATTGCAGAAGAAGGTGCATACAATTACATACCGCGCGGTAAACCGCTATCGTAGTTTTGACTCTCAGATCTTTTCCCATAGTTTGCATACATATCAGGTAGCGTCCATTCGCCATTCGCCATAAGGTTCTAGTGCTGCTTGTTGAACCCTACCTACATGGAGTACTGAGCGGGGTTTTTAAGTTGTCCAGATGTACTTTCAGCAAGCTTGGTGTTCCATTCTAAGTTCACTGGGCACGCCTAGTGAGGTTTTCCAGGCTTTAGCGTTTTGTGTGTTTTTGAAAGTTGCCCCTTCGCTTTGCTACACAGCCAAGCCAGAGATCCAATGAAGCGGGATCTCAGCTTGAACGCTGGCTGCGCACAAGATAATGTACCTTAGAGCTGACCAGGAAAACTGCTGGACTGCAGCTTGACATCTCTGCGCTTTGCTACAAGTCTTCAAAAGGTTCCGGGATGTAGTTTCGGGCAGCTGCTTCGAATCAGTTTTGTCAGCTTTGGCACTCAGAAACAGTGCGTAGCCAATGCCATTGAACATGTGCTGCACGGGCTCAGAGAGTTTTCCAACCCCCGGCCTCGGGTGGAGTCTCTGCAAGTTCCTGTAGCTAAGGCTGCACAGGCGATGGCTTAAGTGTGGGCGGTTGCTCTGAACTTGCGAAGTGTAACAGCTTCTGATAAGGCTGACGACATCATGGATGCCACTATGGGGAGCATCGCTCCGACCGGGCTCAAGGGGAAGCTGGCGGCGCTAGAGGCTCGATAGACTCTGTCTGTATCACTCTTGGAGAATCACAGCATGATTGAAGCCACGTTTAACAGTAGATCCTTTCTCCTGCAATCCTACCAGTAGCAGGATCTTGCGCTCAGCCTAAGGAAATACATGGAGAGTTCCCAAAATTAGTGTCTTTCTTTGGTGCCCCGAATTATTTGGTGCCATGATATGGTTTCATACTCAAAAGCCGCCAATACTGTTAGGAACAATCCCCATCCATGATTTGCCACCACTGGTCAAATTGCACATATGATGAAAGCTGTCTAGTGGCATACATTGATGTCACAAGCTACATGGAAGCAATGTCTAGCCGTCTAGCCCTACCCGATACCATGTACTGCTAGCACGTCATGAATGCACTAGGGCAGTAGACTGCCCATCTAATCTCTCATTGCACTTTGGCAGTTGTGATGGTACGGAGGAGGTGAAGCACTTTGAATACTGCAGAATACATAACTTCATGTACCCTGGAAGTTTGGCATGTCTCTCAACGCATGTGACGGATGATGCGCGTGCCAGGATTTTATCTCCATGCAGAACGAAGAGCTGGCTGCGCAGCGTCAGGATCTGTTCCAGAGTTTGCAGGTAGCACAGTGATGCGCAGCGCATGGTGGGGAATCTGGCAGGAAATTGAGAGCCTTCGTGGCGACAAGGCTGGCATCGAGGCCTGTGCTCGCCAGCAAGGCAGAATACATAGACTCGACTTGGCCTTCGGGGGCCTCTGGTGCCAGGAGCACTACCAGGGCCAGCTGCAGGAGTTGAAGAAGACCATGGTCGGCGACGTGCAGCGGCTGCAGGATTTTCATACATATCTGCATATATGTACATGTATATTAAAGGCCACATGCATTGGTTTGTTGTTTTATAACGTTAGGATTCGTCTGTTAATGCAGGACGAAGTGAAGCGGCATTTCGCGCAGCAGAAAGCAGAGAATGCACGTGAAGCTTGCGAGAATTTGTCGCTCTTTCTGTCGCGCCTTCCACCGATTGCTTGGCTGACCAGTTGTCATGCCGTTCTGGCAGGCCTGCAACAACAGATCACAACCTTGAAAGGTGAGAAAACGCGGCTTGCTCAGAGCTGTTGCGGCGTTTTGTGTAATGAGGACGAACAGACCTTGAGGTCCCTACAGCAGCAGATCCTGGGTTTGCAGAGGCGAATCCAGGAAATCGAGGAGCAGGCATTATGGGTTCGGTCAAAAACTTCAGGAGAATCAAAAAGACACTGCAGACATTCCTGCAGCCAGGTTGGTGCAGACTAAAGCAGCTTGGCGCACCAGGCAGGTGATGCCACAGTGACCGAATTGCCCGACCCAGTAATCATCGGATGTTGCCTGCAGAGTGTGCCTGCCAGTCATGTCCTGGGAATGTTGCAGATTACAGTTGGATGGCCGCTAGCAACCAAGCAGACTTTGTTGCGGTTTCTATGCGGCCTGACATTGAGGTGAACTCTCTTGCAGTTCAGATCTTCTGATGCCGCGTCAGTGCAAAGTCCTGGCATATGGCCGGGCGCGTGCAGGCAACAGCGAATGAGGCTGAAGCCACTTTGAGACATGCTTCTGTGAAACGATAGTCAGACAGAGGGTCTTTTTGCAACTGCTTCGACTGGGCAGGGGCAAGTTTCAATATTCGTATACAAAGTATGAGAACTAGAAAAGCTCCAGACTGGAGCTTTGTGTTTCACGAGCAGTTCTGCGTTCTAAGTGCCCCTGGATATGTCAATGCATGTGAAGGATGCGCGAACTGCTCTTCTTGGGTTTTGTGAATCGTGCAGAACCCACCTCAGACTGACTGCTTGAGTGTAGGGGTGGAGGTGACTTGTTGCCTAGAAAAGCAGAACCTGCATGTGTATGCCGTTGCGCTACGACTATGCCTGTCAGTTCTTCGCTTGCAGCCATCATGGTTTGTTGCCAATTGTTTGACTGAGCACCTGAACTTGCAATGTCTGACGATGACCTTTTGCAGGCCTGTCGTTTTGCGTAAGTTGTGTCTTAGAAAAGGGCCTTGCCAAGAAGGTCAGCAGAGCTCTTCAATCCCTGAAGCAGAACGAGCGCTTCCATGGAGCTTGAGTCTCAGTTCAAGCCTTTCAGTTGATTCAGTTGTGGGGGTTTGTAGAGGGCTCCGCATTGCATCTCTCCATCCCACATCATGCCAATGCTTAGGTGATGCAGCTCCCGTCGGTGTCAAAGGTGCTCACTGACTTCGCAAAGCTGAACCTTCAGGTTATTAAAGCCAGCACAGGCAGTGCGGCATTGGGCGGGCATAGAACGATTAGCCCCAGAGGACAGCTGAAGAAGCCGTTCGTTGGTGACCCTAGCTCATCTCTTGGCTTCATGATGGCTTCAATGAAGGAGTGCGAGGAATGGCATTCCGATCCGCAGATCATGTTCGTTCTCGCGCCTTGGATGTCGTGGAATCATACGCTCATGCTGCGGTCTGCAGATGGATGGGTGCTTAAGCATGTAATCGCAAGGCTGAGCTACGACGCCACGACCTTACACTTTTTGTGTTCAATAGAGTTCGCGCGTGTTTGCACTTTGGTTGGGCAACCCCCTGCTGGCGCGGCTGAACACTTTCTTTGCCCATGGCTGAATGGTCGAAGTGCAGCCCCTTAGAAGGTTTGGAGCATTGTTGTCGCAAAGCTGGTATGAAGGCCGGATGGTTGCACACTCTGTACAATCCTGCACACAATGACCAGGTTCGCCCAAAACAAGGCTGAACATCCGCTGAAGTTAGCCATGCGTGCTGAAGCCTGCAGTAATGCCATGCAATGCCATGCCTGATGCACTTGAGCTTCAGTTCAGGCAGTAAACCACAAACAAAGACCTGCACCGTTGATCACACGGCTTCTCTCAGTCGACTCTAGTCACTCGAATCACTCAAGCCAGCACATGCTATTGTTCCTACCAACCTTTCAGTTCAGCCATGAAGACCATGAGGGCGGCTCCTTTTCAGCCTCGGATTACGTTGGCAGATGCTATTGCTCAACTCAAATCCGCGCGGACGCGCTGCATACAACCGCCGGTGCAGGAAAAGGTGGAGGAGCCGCCCAACAAGCGGCAGAAGACGGACGATAGTCTCAAGGCATCCACAGAAGGTTCAGATTGCAAGGCCATTGACCCTGCCACAAGGACGTGGCAGCATGATGAGCCTGCGCCTGCAAAATTGGCAGGTGAAGACTGGGAAGAGCATCGGTCCAAAGTTGGTTTGAAGCTAATTGGGGACATGTCAGATGAGTCTCCATGGACCTACTTCCTCAAGGATGAGTCCAGGCGGAGCTTTGCCGCTCACTTGGCGAACCCCTTTGGCCAGCAAATCTGTGCATCTTGGTTTGCCAAAGTGCGTGTGGGCACGAAATGGCTACAGCCCAACTCTTGGTGGGGGCCTATGCCTCGCAAAACAGCCTGGATGGTTGCAAAAGGATGTACTTGCACATACGAATATGGCGGAATGGAGGTACAGCCCACGCCGTATCCTGTCTGGATGATCGAACTCATGGAAAGCGTAATGCCTCACTGTGGACTCTCGGACCTGAGCAACATGCCTGACAGCTGCAACTTGAACTTGTACGAAGATGGCAAGCAGATGGTAGGTTGGCATGCAGATGATGAGGAGCTGTTCCAGGGCAAGGGTGGGGACTGTAGGATTATATCCTTGTCCCTGGGAGCTCCCCGACGGTTTGAGCTTGAGCTTAACTGGCCCGGAAAGGAAGAGGCCATTGGTGTTTCGCAAACGCTTTCCGACGGCGACATTTGTACCATGGAGGGCATGACGCAGAAGCACTTCATGCATCGTGTGCCCGAAGAGGAGGGCCCTGTTGGTCAGCGTATCAACCTTACTTGGCGGTGGATTGCCAAACACAAAGATACTTGCAAGAAGCTGCAGGAAGCGTAGCGTGAGGATCTCCGGCACGGGCAGAAAAGCGCAGAGGAAAAAATCTACAAAAGAAACGATCAAAGCCTCGTGACAGGACACAGATTCAGTTTTGACAGTGGCAGGTGCCACTACATACAGTACTGGCATGCGAAGACGAGCTCCCTTTGCCCGATGGACGCTTGATTTATTTGAGTCCTCTCTTATCACCTTCACGCATTTTCGGTAATCACAAATTCTCCTTGAAAGTCACCGGATCAGGCAGAAAGCTCTCTGGCGGCGAGCTCAAGAGCGCTGTGAGACAGCCCTTGGATCAGGCAAGAACAAGTGCAGCATAACTTCATGCATGAGCTTTAAGCATCTCATCATGACGTACTCACTGGTGATGTTTGTGTCTTCCTGCAGGAGTTGCCAGATCTTCCTCCTGTCGATCCTCGAGCCTGGAGGTGGATCTTCTGGCGCTCATATTGTATCGACCACTACGCTCGATGTTTGCTCGTTAAGGCGAACTTTCATGTGGCAGCTTGTGAGCATGGTGGGTTGCCCAGAGGCTGTGAAATCAAGCAGCATCCATGCAAGGGATGCGTCTGCAGGTGCTGGCGCTCATTTTGGCACGCATAGGTCCAGCGTTCCTCATGTTTTACATCACACATGTTGCTTGACTTGGCAAGGAGTGTGGTATCAAGAGGAAGAGTTCGCCAAGATGGCTTTGAACGCAACACGCGCGGCCGCACCCTTGTTGGGACAACGCTTGGCAGCGAGTGAAGACACCTGAACCGAGGCTGCAACCGAACCGGAACTTTAACGAGACTCTATCTGCGTTTCTCATGTGCAGCAATGACGTGATCGAAGCCCGCCAGTCCCTCAGCTGGCCGAGTACTGGACGACTGAACTGACGGGAGCCGGTCTGGCCAGAGCACACGTGGTCCGTGCGCCGTGGAGAAGTCCGAAGACAACTTGGCTTTGGTGCCAAGCGTCCTTTGTTGAAAAAGCGGCAGTGACACAGGTCTCACTACTGTGCAGAGCCTCCAGGTGGAAAATGGACCTTCCTGTGAAAATCTGGCACCGTTTTGAGACGGACTCTTGTGTTGGTTGTGAAGCTGGCTTCTGGTCAATTGGCTTTGGCTCAATTCAAGGTTTGTTACCAGCGTCCATGATTAGCCGGGTTGTCTGTGTGTCTCCAGTTTCGCAGGCCGGACCGGGTAGTGTAGCGCCAGTGTTGCCCGACTCTCTTCTTTCTGCTCCTCTGTGATCCTCGCTGTCAGACAGCTTGATATGCAGGCTCCACTGCGTATCCATGTCTAAGAAGAAGGCATCCGCACTTGCACACAATGATTGCAAAGCCTTGTAAAGTGGGACTGGCTGTCTTCATGACTCTTAGGAACCGAAGCCGGTCATAGTGGGAGCCTGAGAGGTCAGAAAGGCACACAGGGTGTCTCAGGTTCCTTTGAGTCATCTCGCGGCATTGTTTCACAATGGTTCACAGCTTCGCGCTTCGTTTGCTGTGCTGCAGGACCAAGTTACATCATGGATGTCTGTGCTGGCTGGCCTTCTTGGGTTGGTGTGTTTGGTTCCCAAAGTCCCGTCTCAGCCTCGGTTCCAGCTTTGCACACAACAACTCACCAACTTGATGCCAAGCAGTTGAGTGTCCAAATGTTTGTGCCTAGCTAGGACTTGCCAAAGCATCCAGACAAGCAAAGAAATCTGCATTTTCTAGTTCAACCGAATTGCATGTGCTCCCTGACCTAGCTCAGGTATCGGTTTTCCGAGGTCTTCCCTGGATACCACAACAGGCCAGAAAACTTGGTTCGTTCCTGCAGTGGTCGCTCCTGTTTTGCTGTTGTTGCCTGCATATTGCTTGTAAAAGGATGACAACAGCACCTTCTTACCAGTCTTTGAGTTTTGCTGCTGCTGCGGCGTTGCTATCGCTAAAGTGACAACTACACTACTTCTTGCAACTGCGACGGATGATTGCTCTTACGACTTTCGAGCATCAACGGAGCCCTCATCGCGCTTTGTGTGACGGTGGCGGAGGCAGTGGTAGCATTGGAAGGAAACAGCACGATTCACGCACCAACCCCGATTCACGCACTAGGATTCAAGCGCCAACGATTCAAGCACCAACGATTCAGGAGCTATCCGAATCACGCACCAACGACTCACGCACTACGCCAGACCGATTCACACACCACCACGACCCGATTCAAGCCAGAAGGATCTGACTTTCGCACCAAGCCAGAAGAGGCTTCAGGACTTGGGGTTTAGGGCTCAGGGTTCAGGGTTGGTTTTGGGTTTAGGGTTCAGGGTTGGTGTAGGGCTTAGGGTGTTGGGTTCAGGGTTTAGGTTCTAGGGTTCAGGGTTCAGGGTTTAGGACGTAGGGTTTAGGGTTCAGGGTTGGTTTAGGGTTTAGGGTTCAGGGTTTAGGGCGTAGGCTACCGTAGGGTTTAGGGTTGTAGGGTTCAGGGTTGGTGTAGGGCTCAGGGTTTAGGGTTTGGAGTTCAGGGTTTTGGGCTTAGAGTTTAGGGTTTAGGGTTCAGGGCGTCTTCTCGCGTGGCGGCTGGAGGTAACATGTAGAAATGGCGCCCCGACACACACAGGGGTGTGGGGGGGCGGCATATCTGTCAACGGCACATCTCTTGTGCGCGACAAACCAAAACTTGGTGTGTTGGTTTATTCTTCCCCCCTGCTTGCGCAGGCATCCGCCCAACTTCATTCCTTTTCGGGTTTCGGGCTGACGGCCTAAATTCACATGTTTTTTTTTGAAGCTCTTGAATCAAACAATGGGCCCGCCGCAGGGGGGGGGGGCCAGGGTTTAGGCTTTAGGACTGGCTTAGGGCTTAGGGCTTTGTTAGGGTTTAGGGTTTGGGGTTCAGGGTTTAGGGTTTAGGCTTTAGGGTTCAGGGCTGGTTTAGGGTTTAAGGTTCAGGGTTGGTTCAGGGCTGGTTTAGGGTGTAGGGTTCAGGGTTGGTTCAGGGCTTAGGGTTTTGGGTTTAGGTTCTAGGGTTCAGGGTTCAGGGTTTAGGACGTAGGGTTTAGGGTTCAGGGTTGGTTTAGGGTTTAGGGTTCAGGGTTTAGGGCGTAGGCTACCGTAGGGTTTAGGGTTTAGGGTTTAGGGGAAGGTTTAGGGTTGGGCGTTCAGGGTTTAGGACTTGGGGCTTAGGCTCTAGGGTTTAGGGTTTAGGGCTGGTTTAGGGCTTAGGGTTTCGGGGTGTAGGGTTTAGGGTGCTCAGGGTTTAGGGTTCAGCGCTGGTTTGGGGCTTAGGGCTTAGGGTTCAGGGTTTAGGGTTTAGGGTCTGAGGCTCAGGGCTGGTTTAAGGCTTAGGGCTGTCTTAGCGTGTAGGCTTTAGGGGTCAGGGTTCAGGGTCGGTTTGGGGGCTTAGGGTTTAGGTTTTAGGGTTTAGGGTCCAGCATCTCAAGTCCGAGCATTCTCTTGTTAAGCAACGTTATCCAATAACAGAAAAATACCCACCCGCCCATTGGTTCCCACATCGTTAAGCAAAGTACACTCTAAACCTTAAATCCTAACCCTAAAGCAACGAATCCCGAATCCTAAACTCTGAACCTTGAAGCCCGAGCCTTCAAGCTCGAACCCTCAGGCCCAGAACACAGAGCCCAAACCCTAGAGCACGAAACCTGGAGCCCTAACCCTAGAGCCAGAGCCTGAACCCTAGAGCCCGAACCCTAGTGCCAGAACCCTAGAGCCAGAACCCTAGACCTGAGCCCTTGAGCCCGAACCCTAAAAGAGCCAGAACTAGAGCCCAAAACCTAGTACCAGAACCCAGAGCCAGAACCCTAGAGCCAGAACCCTAGAGCCTGAACCCTGAAGCCTGAACCCTAGAGCCACAACTCTAGAGCCACAACCTTAGAGCCCGAACCCTAGAGCCAGAACCCTAGAGCCTGAACCATAGAGTGCCAGAACCAAGGATTTCGGCCTACCGACTAATGTTTCTTATTTGGCCTGCTGACTAAGGACTTTGGCCTGCCGACTAATGTTTCTCACACTGGGCCCGCTGAGTGCCAAGTAAGGAGGGGCATGTTTCTTAAGGTTTAAATTTCTATGTGAAATAGGTTTTAGGGTTTAGTGCTTAGGGTTGGGGGTTCAGGGTTGGTTTTGGGCTTAAGGCTTTCTTAGGGTTTAGGCGTCAGGGTTCAGGGTTGTTTTAGTTCAGCGTTGGTTAGGCCTTAGGGTTTAGGGTTCAGGGTTGGTTTAGGGCTGGTTCAGGGTCTGCTTGGTGCGCGAAGCAGCGTTTCTTTGGTGTACGAATCGGTCCGTGGTATTGCGCGAATCTTTGGTGCGCAAGTCTTTGATGCGCGAATCCTTGGTGCGCGAATCCGCCGGGAGTAGTGCGCGAATCACGTGTTTCGCCTAGTGCGCGAATCCGCCCCTTTGGTGCGCGAATCTGCGCTTTTTGTGCACGAATCGGTTTCCAGCCAGCATTGGAAGGGCTAGGGGTGGTAGTGGTAGGGATTCGGAATGGTGAAAGAGGGGGCTGCCTACCGCCGCTGCTGCCAGCAGCTACTGTGCTATAGGAACAGCAGGACTCTACATGAAAGAGTCGGGGTACATGATGGTTCTATTGCCGTTGCTGTTCGGATGACAGCTTGTGTGGTGGTCTGTGCCTAGCAAGCTCCCGAACAGGTTTGCCGTTCAGCGTCGCTACTCCTTATTCGGAGTGACAAACAGGAACGGGCAGTTGGCAGCCTCCTTAGTGTGGCCACACGTTGAGTCTGTATATTTGGAGATGCAGTCTCTAAGGTATCTTGGTCCAAGCTTTCGAAGGATACTTGTAACAAGATGAAGGCCTCACCTGCTGCTGTTTGCATCTTTGGATGCCACACAGCTCATGAAGAAACTATGCAGCATTTGTCATGTCATGGAACCTGGTTACCATGTGCTCGACTAGGAGTTCCAGCAGGGCAACCCAATGCTGGCTCTGGCCTTGGAAGAGGGTGGCAGGTGTGTACAATTGCAGTCAATCAAAGCAAGCTACTTTAAAGACTCTGGCTTGAATTTTGGATGGACTCGACCTGCCCCCTTACTATGTCCTTTCGCAAGCCTGTGCACCTATCCTCCTCGGATATGCCAAGGCATGCTTGTCTAAGCTTAGGTCTTTCTCTAAGCCTGGCCTCAGGCCCTAGCACAATCTAGAGGAGACAGCATTCTGGGCGTGCCAGAGGAACTGCTTCCAGATTGAGGTGGCAAGCATTGACCAATTGACTAATTAGGCGTGATCTCCCACGAAATTCTCCCAGATGCTTCGGGAACTTCAGGCATCTTCAGGCACTCTCGCTTGTAGCACTCCCGCTTGCACGAATACTAAGCAAAGTGTAGATGGAATACAAGAGGACATGTTGCACCGTACGCTGCGCAAGCTGCGCACACCGCACATGTTGTTTTGAGCCTCCAAGGCCGTTGCAGGAAGCTTGGCGGCATCGAAATCAAAGGTTGGAGGTGCCGTGGCCGGATGTATGTTCTGGGACCTTTGCAAAGCTGGCGCCCCAGAAGACCGGGTGATCCGCCCTTCACTGTGTTGCCCTTAGCAGCGAGGCGCAACTGAACATCAGATGCACAGAGTACAGAACAATGTCCATCATCAGTGCCTCGGCTTGCATCTTTGAAGCGGAAGGCAGGTGGAAGATGCAATACGTGTTTCGGCTGTCTGCCGTTGATGTTGTGGTCCGGAATTTGCATTTGAGTTTTGGCTTGGCCGTGTTGGTATCTTGGTTGCCTGGATCACTCCACAGGATTCATAGATCATCATCTTGTGTTGCCAGAGTACACTGGCCTAGAAGGATTTCCTGGGAGAATCAGGGCCACAGCAAACAGTGGTCCGAGGTCAGGTTTCTACGGCGAAGGGATAGCACTAAAATCACGAATAACAATGTGAGTTGTGCACACCATCACCCGTCCGCCTGTAGTGCATGTTGGGGTGTCAATCTGGCCTGGGGCCATCCTGAAGCACCCAGAACCCCAGGCGGGTTGCCACGGCCAGTCTTGGACTGTGGAGCCTTTATTATCACACGAAAGTTCGCTTCTGGACGTCTTTGGGTGATCTTGCGGATCTCAAGGCCACGGTCTTCAATGCAAAGAAGATCGCGCGCTTGAAATTGCTGCAATGTGTGCGAGGCTTTGTGATGCTAACTTTGGTCAATACAGGTTGTTCAAAGCACTTGAGGCCAGTGGCGTGTTGCGTTTAGGTCCTGTGAGGATCCGACAGAAAGCGACGTGTAGCAATAATGTTCTCCCGACAGCAATGATGCATGGGTTCCACGATCTCACCGAATCAACTGTAGTGTTTGCTGCTCAGCCTTCTTTTCCGCTGCCAAATGAGAAGTCGGTTGGCGCAAACGAAGAGCCACGTTCTAGAATTTGTTGGTTACCTGGCCCCTCACACAGAAGGGAAGTGACAATTACAGTAAAGAGAAAGTAAGGGCCCTGCATTAGCGATCTTGCTCACTGTCTGTCAAGTGCCTTGCATGCGACAAGGTATCCTTTGCATGCTGCTGCAGTTGATCGGAGGCTGCAGCATGTGCAAGGGCAGTTACTTGATTCAGCTTGAGGTGTGTCATCTGCCATGGATAGCCAGAAGTCCCGAAGTTGCGTTTTGTGAATGAAGTGCCGCCAGTTGGTTGCCTCTTTTGCGTGCCAATGATGCTCAACAGCGAAGATGACTCGAAGAAGGACAAGAAGGACAAGAAGGACTGTTAGCCTGTTAGCTAGCTTGAGTCTAGCTTGTCACAAAAAGGAGCTAGATCATGTCGCGTCGCGACAGACTGCCTGCAGGCTGGCAAGAAGGAAAAAGCCAAGAAATCCGCTATGGCAGCGACTATGAACGTTACCATTGCAGGATTTGTGTCTGTCACTGAGCTTGGTAAGAAATCCATCTAAGTCTTAGCTGGGTCTTTTGGTCCTGCACGTGCCATTTTGAGGCTTCCCCTCCTGTCCTGGGCGATGTACATGGGGCCTGAGCCTTCACTCTGAATTGCGTTGCAGGAATCATGTGTGTTCCTCTTGGCAGGTGCACTGACAGCATGTTCCATACTTTCAAAACCAAAGAGCGGGAGCCTCAAATTCGGTTCGGTTTCCGTGGCATGTGCCAAGGACATGCTCAGTTCAAGTCATGTGCGCCGTCAGGGCATACGCCTACGGCTACAGCTATGTAGGGTCCTACCTAGCCGTCTCGGGCGTCTTTCTATCCCTTATCGGTCTGGACCTCACAAACTCCTTTTTGTCAGCCAGTCTCCGCGGCCTCCTCGTCTCCAGGAGTTGGCTGTGCTTGGCGCCGATGGAACACCTTTGGGCAGGTGCCCAAAGAGAGAAGAATGTCCTCTTTCCCCGCTTCTGGGCCTGGTGCAGGAAAAGGAGGATGAAGAGGAGGATGCAGCTGCCACTGCCAATGCGAACTTGCCAACGGAGCGGGGCTGCTTATTCCAGATGCTGAAGCCCTGAGCATTTTGACTAAGCCTCCTGCCCTTTCCAGGATCCAGCGTTCCCAGCTTAGATTATCTTCGACGCATCACGGGCATTTGATCTTGAACTCTTCAGCGTGTGCAACGGAACGCTCGACTGCCTCCAAGGGCAGGTATGCCTCCGGGCGCTCCCGGAATGCCTGGGCCTGGACCTCAATTTCCTGAATTGACGCCATCAGAAAAGGTTTGTAAGCGCAACAAGGCCACCACCGATGCCACAAGGCTGAGGCCAAGATTGGGCGTTCGCCTCACGCTTGGGCTTGGCAGCGACAAAAAGATGATTGGTAATGAGCTCATTTGCACGTGCTGGCATGCATCCCGACACATGGATTGAGCGCGGTGTGCCTGCCTTCTTTGTGTGTGGGGACCGCAGCACTCAGTGTGATTCAAGATAAGACACCCTCCACTTGAATGTTTCCACAAAATATTGTGGGATCTCTTAACAAGAGGCCTTTTGCAGTCTTGCATTGCGCATATCTGAAGAAAAGCTGTCGGATCAGGGGCTGAGAATGGGTAGAGGTGCTGAGTGTGGGCACCTGCTCGCCCTGGATGCGTATAGGGCCAGCGATTGAAGGTCAAGGAACCTGTCGCGAGCGGTTCAGCCTCACACCCCGACCTGACAAAACCCCTGCGAGACATTGCAAGACAGGTACTTGTAGCTTCCTGTAGTATACCCCCAAGCGATTTGTAGGCCCGAATTGCCAAATTTTGAGACACCAACTCGTAAATCAACATATTTTCCTGTAATTGCACGCAGGTGTACTCGGTATTATGTAACTCATTATTGACTACCTGCTGTTAATTGTATACTTGCAGAAGCTTGCGGATTACAAGACATAAAGGAGCATACTGCCAAAATGGCTTTGCCATTTTGGCTCAAGATCTGTGGGACCAAGTCCCTTCCAAATTTTCATTGCCATCTTTCGCTCCTCTCACTTTCTCTGTGACTCATGGCTTCCCTTGGTTCTATTTCTGGACCCCCTTTAACCCCCATCACACCCCCCCGATAAAGAGCGGGAATCTTAAAGCTTTCCGGCTTCCAAGCACTCTGAACGCTACACTCAGAGCAACCCAACGGAAAAAAGAGCTGCGTGCTATTCTACTTGTAGTCGTAGTAGGTCTTGGACAGGAGCAGGGCAGCCACACAGAACCAGAACTCCAGCAGTCTTGCAGAGCATGTAGGAGCCGTTTCTTTACGTCGCATGCTGCAAGTTTTTTGGGTTTTTTCAGCATGCGAAACATGTTGCGGTTTTTGGATGAGTAGTGTGCTTTCATGTGAGAGATGTCCCTGCCCCGGTCGTTTTGTATCAGGGGTGGGAACGGAGAGCACAAGCCGTTTTGTGTTTTTGCAAACGCCGCCCGCCCGCCCGCCCGCCCACCCACCCGCCCGCCCGCCCGCCCACCCACTCTTGGGGGAAATTTGAACAACAGCCAGCTTGGGTATTTGTCACTGGTGCCATGCTGGTGCCCATCACTGGTGCCATGCTGGTGCCCATGTTCGATATTGCCCCAATTCGGGTTAATGCTCTTGATCTGGCTGATTGAAACAATTCAAGCAGGCCATAAAACTTGTATCTATCTGAAATTTCATTCGTCAGTTGTGTCGAGTTAAGATTTTCAAGAAGTTGCAATACACGCCGTGAAACACTGTGACAAGGGAAACGAGTTGAAAGGGCATCAAACGGCGGGCATTTTGGCAACTGGACCCTGTTTTCTGTGGCCCCTCATGGATGCTGTGAGACGTGCTGCCTTATTCCAAGACCACAAAAATTTGGTCAATGTTTTTCATTGGAGCCCCATCAATCTATTGGATATGGGAAGCTCAATTGGATTGCAGCGAACTAAGTTCATTTCCAAACTTCTTGAGTGCAGCCTGGATTTTGAAAGAGATGCCTGTTGATCCAGATTTTCAGGAAAGTATGGAAAGAACATCAACGATGCAAGCTATCGTTTCACCTAATGACTTCTTGTGGTCATTTACAGGATGACAGAAAAACCAGTTCGTGTGGAATCTTTGTTTGATTGCTCGAATCTTGTTGCCTTGCAAGTATGCTGGCTATTTTAAGCCTAGTTCAAGCATGAATGCCTGCTTTCATCAGATCTTCTGTGCGTGGACTGTTCTGGTGAGCTGTTCAACAAAGTACTCACTGTTTGTCGGTGTTGTCTATTGTACCCATGGGTGCCGCTGCCATAGCCCTTGCTTGAAGTTTTCAAGGCAGGTCGGGTTGGAATCCAGCCATGCTCTGCGCTGCGGGGGTCGAGGCCACTGTAGGGAACCACCTTCCGCAAGAGTAGTTGAGAAGTGGAGGGTGCATCCTGCATTCAAGGTTTTCAAGGATGGTTGAACAGATTTGGAGTGACCCAAGCTTCTGCTGGTGGGCACGAAGGCTTTTCATGGTAGGGTTCAGGGTCTATAGGTGGAGATTATGCCCAGCGCAGAGAGGCGTACATGCACAGGATTGGGCAAAGTCTCCCTGACCCCTGCCATGCTGAGAGTTTCACGGCACAGACATGGGACTTGTGGGTTGGCTTGATGGCATGCTGAAAGCCTCATCTTTGAAGCTCGTTTTTTTGGCAGAGCCGATTATTCAAGCCGCGACGACAGGAGTCCACCGCACTGGAGAGGCACAGGGTTGGGGGTCCTGATGGTTTGGTATTGATCTTCTGGATACTTGAGGCAACGATGATGTTTTCTAATTTCGTGGAAAAGACATTGTTTCCAATGAAGACGGGCAGCCGAATATGCTGAGTGGTTGCGTAAACTTTTTGTGCGCAAGATAACGCCTGTTTGGAAAGCGGCTTCGCCGAATCCCCAATGCCCCCTGTGGATCGGAGTTGGCCACACGCTGAATTTGTGAATCATCTGATGCAAGCTTTATGCTTCAAGCTTGGTTTCAAGGGTTTCGAGCGTTCTGTACTATGGCTACATGCTACCATTACATCGGGTACTTCCCAGGCCAAGGCACATGCACAGATCTCCTTCGCAAGCAGCCTTGCCTTACTCTTGTCCGTCATTTACAGGGACCTTCCTGTCCTTCCAAAAATTTCTGAAGCTGTGTCGAGTGATCTTGATTGAACTTCCTTCCTTCAAAAATTGAGGGGCAGCTGTCATCTGTTTTCTGGCTGAGCCCGGATGCAATCAAGCTTGTTCAGGTAAAAAGCCGCAAATGTAATATTTGGCATGAAGCTCTTTGAAACCTTTTAGTCCCAAAACTACACGCTGAAGCTGGGGAGAGCAGCCAGGCATGTGGCCACGCTGCAGAAATCGTCGGTCAGGAAGCGCCTACCAGTCCCTAATCCGAGAACTCTTCATCCTCCTTAGTTTGTCCTTAGTTTGTTGTTTAGGATCTGAGGAGGGGGGATTTATGGGTGCAGTGCGATCTAGGGTACTCTTGCATGGCAGTTTCTCAAAGTGTTTAGTCTGGAACAAGGTGAAGGCGAATGGACCATCGCTTGCATCACCCATATCAATTCCATACACATTCCAACATGTTTTACAAATTTACACACCATGATGTCCGTTGCAGGCTCTCGTAGGTGGAAAGAGTTGCATGTAATGGCAGAATGTCTGGAACACGGCGCGATCCGGACCAGGTAGGAGCCAGGTTTTGGAGTTTGGGTGGACAGTTTTTGGAGTTTAGTGTACTTCTGTTGTTACCCAATTGAGGAAATACAGATGGCAACTTTTAGGATTCCTTCTTTTGGAAACGTGTGCATGCCCGGGCTTTGTATGTGTGCGTGTGTTTTCCTGATCTGGGATGAAAAGAACTCCCATCTTCAAGTTTTTTACAGATAATGGTCCGCATCTTGCAAAAGGACCTAGGTTGCTGATAGTGCAGTCCTGAGGAGGGTAGTTCGTGGCAAGTTAAAGGGAGCATTGCGAAAGCCCTCTGCATCCTGCAGAACCTGAGCTTGCGCAGTGCAGGAGGGAGACGAGCTTATCGCTTTACTTTGACATGTATACGGTCCCCGTGGAGCCTTGGTGGCAAGATCCTTCGCGTGCATTGCATTTTGCCTCAGCATTCGGACGCGGCATCGAGGGCATGCGCTCTGAGGAGACCTTCATTGAGTTGAATGAGATAAAGACGCATGAGGAGCTGATGGCCGAGGGCTTGCTTGTCAAATTCGACAAGATGATGGGTGCGCGGTTGGAGAGAATTTTAGGGCAGTTTTCAGGGTGTTGTAAGTTGTTTCATGTAGGCCCTTCGAAGCCCAAAACCGGAAGCAGGTCAGGCAATGTTCGTGTCGCACCAGTGGGCGGGCTTGGGCCATCCGGATCCTCACTTCGAACAGATGCGCGTGCTGCAAGACGCGCTCAGGATCGGGATAGTAGACTGATGAGAGGCAACTGCGACGTTTGAAGGCATTGCTATTGGCTATTACGCAGATTTGGAGTTTAGCTCAAGCGCTTCAAATTCACAGGAATCATGTGAAACAGCAAAGGTTAGAAATGCCAACTAGTTAAAGTCCTGTTTCTTTCCAGGGTCATACGAACAGCTGAGCAGGAATATGACAAGCGGTGTCACCCAGTCTATCGCGCCTGGCGTTGCCACGAATTCCTTTATAGTATTTTTTTTGAGGGTAGCAAACGGCAATAACGATGTTTTTCTGAGAACGCTGGCTGAATGAAGAAGTTGCTGTTGCTCCGCCAACTCAGATCATAGAGCTCTACGTGGGTCAGCCATTTGCCCCAACATCAGAGCTCAGCCACTGTACATTTGGTATGACCCTGGACATCCAATAGCGATTGGAGTTTTGTAGACTTCACATCAGCAGCAGCCTCAGATGTGAGCACTGCACCACCTAGGACTATTTCTGCTGCCCTCAAAACCTGCATGACTCAGACAGCCGCGCGAGAGCAATTCGGAGCATACCAGCCACCAAGGCGTTCTTGATAAGTTCTTTCTACTTATGCCAGTTATGCTTAAATCGTTCCGCAAATTTTCGTTCGGCTATGTTTCCGAAAGCAGCCAAGGCCTACGTGGAAAGAAGTCGCTTCTTTGTAATCCTCTGCCCTCCGGTTCGACATGCAAAGGAGGGTACGCTCTTGAGTAAATCAACATGGAGCTCGCGAGGCTGGTGCCGGCTCCTTGACGTTCAAAAATGGCAAGTTGCAGGTCCACGCTTGTATGGTTCACATTATGTAATCTAGAGTATCTGGAGCCCAAGAAGCAACAAGGCTGGAATTGGTCGTAAGGCACCTGAGCAAGCGAGCCAGCATTGCCATTCAAATAGAAAGCGCGCAGCGGCAGACCTTAGCGAACCTGTTCGATTGGGTACTGCAACCTGTCGGAGAGGGTGGCTTTACAGTCCCGGAAGATGCACTCAAAGTTGGGGAAGTACTGAGGAGCTTGGTGAGGGAAACGTTGCTTGGTTACCTGTCAGAAGGCAAGCTGCACAACTTCCGCACTATTTTGAACTTGCAAGATGTCATCTTGCGAGACTGTCATGTCAGGCCGATCACCGACATAATCCCAGGCCTCATTTCAAAGACTTCCGACCCCAGCAGCTTTTTTTTGGATGAGTTCGTCCACCAAAATGGTTTCAGAAGCTTGTTTACACGCGATGGAGCTGGCTGGACACCCATGTGCTACGCGGCTCTGAACGGAAGCCCTCAGCTCATTTGTGCCCTTCTGGAAGCTCCTGCTGACCCCAATGACAAGGTCAAAGTAGCTTGGCCGTCCTGAGCTTGCCTTTACTGCACCAGTAAGGTTGTATCACGCTGTAATCTTTCCCGATTCCGATGCCTCAGCGCCTTGAAACACGTTTGCGCTAAGGTCAGAGGACCACAACTGATAAATGTGGGAAACAATACCCCAGTGCTGTCAATCTGTGCGATCCTGAAACTCAGCTGGTCCTGACGGCACCATTCATACTTTTTGTTAGTTCGTGAAATTGCCTGACAGCTACGAACCGCAGAATAGAGGAGTTTCTAGATACTTTTGATTTGAGCGGCAGCTTGTAGCCGTTCAACTGATGCCAAGGAAGCACAACGAGGCTGTCAAGATTCTTCTGTCAGCTCGGGCGGATGCCAATGTCAAGGACTGCAGTTCCCCTTGAATCGGTCCAAGCTAGACAGGACTTAGAGTTGCCTTTCCAAGAACACTAGTTATTGTATGGCTCGTTTTTGGCTTCCATGTCAGTCTACAGGAGTGTGCACCGTCATGTTTCTCAGGACAGCTGGGGTGCTACCTGTATGCACTGGGCTGCAAGTGGTCCGAATCGGAAGGCCAGATGTTTTGTGATTCAATGCTTTGGCTAAGCGTTCCCTAGGGCATGGTACACCTGAGTTTGATGTGGTAGTGAGTAGTGTGTCAGATTGGTGGATATAAAATTTTGACATTCTTTGCCAAATCTCGTTCATTCAGGGTTATGTGTAACAGCTACTGTGGCCCATGTCACTCTTAGTGTCGAAGCTAAAGCTGAGGCGTCCAAATCCTGCTTGCGCATGGCGTCAGTGCGGCAGTGAGGGGGATGTCAGGGCACATGCCTTTCGCTTTCACCATTGGTGGCGGTGAAAGTGCAGTATCTGTGCTCCAGGACCTGGGCTCAGGGAGGATCCTTGTTGAACAAAAGATGCCATGAGACCTGGAAGACATGCAGATCTAGTTCAGGAGCTGCTCCCGCACACTCCGCAGCCTGAGATAGCGGCAAGTTTGCATGCCATATTCCTGTTGGGTGGAGGGCATCCGGCGGTGGTCTCCTGCTTGATCGAGGCGGGTGCCGACATCAACCTGCAGAGGCCTGGCCGGATCCGGTTGTTTGAGACCATGCAGTGCTTTCAGGCGGTGACTTTAATGCCTCAACATGCTTCAAGGTCACAGCCCACATTCAGCCTATTGGGTCTCCTCTTTGCCTACTACGCCGTCCGTCAGCGCTGGGCCGCGTCCACATTGAGCACCTACGCCTACCATCAGCGTGGAGCTTCGCCCCTCATGCTCAGCCTCATCACTTGCTCGTTCAGGCCAGCGCCTGCAGCGCTTTGGTGGCTAAGCCCTCTAAAGTTGAAGGTGCTGTGTGTCCCTACAAGATCCTACCGTGGGTCATGCAATTAATTGCGTGGGAGAGTTTTGCCTGGACCATGAGATCAGGAAACACAGAATATACCATGCGTGCGCCAAAGCAGCTACTGCGGTCGCAACAGTAGTAACTAACAACAAGTCATCAGTCGAGGCCTGACTTTTGTATTCGTGCTTTTTGCAGTGCGTGCTTGTGCTTACAAAGAGAGTTAGACTTTGCTTTGCATGTCCGTTGGTCAGTTGGTCTATAGGAACATCACACAGACCTGGCAACTGCAAAAAGCGGCAAGTTCTTCACGCCAATCACCGACCTCAAAAGCATCACCCGAAACTCGTCAGGTGTCAGGTGTCAGCCCAAACAAGCCTCAATGCAGAATTCACACATGGCGGATGCCAGCAGCGAGTACTGTAAGTGACCGATGTGCCAAGATGCATGGAGGAGAACTTCAGGGTTGACCGCGTGTCCGAGGATTTGAAAGTTCAGATCTGGGACCAAGTGTGAAGAGCTGTGGTATTGGTGCAGGTTGCAATTGTCTGACTGAACTTGCTACCACACCTTGCAGAAGGTTCTATGTATACGAGGTAGCCGTAGCCCTTGACATTGACAGGCTGCTGCAGTGCTGATCTCTGCGGGTGCGCGAACAGACTTGGTTAACTCGAAGGGATTTTCGGCTATGGACTTTGCCAGACAGATGAAAGCTCCCGAATACATTTTGCGCGGGCTCGAAGGTCATTTTGGGATTCAGATTGGAAGCATTGTCTTGGTTTTTGGTTTCTCGTTTTCCCACGGCTGTTGCAACAATGAACACTGGCAACCAAGGTGATCCAGGTGCTTGTGAGGAACTTGTCTCTGAGCACAGCAGCAAGTTTTGGCTGAGTATGTAGGTGCTAAGAGGCGTGATGCTTGCAACGTCCCAAGGAACATAACACAAGACCAGCCTGAATTCAGGTGCGTAAATGCAAGCTTGCGCTTCAGAAATGCACCTGCAACAGCCGTTCCCATACGGTAAGAGTCGAGTTGTTAAACAACTCTTTGCTTGTTGTTTGGCCTCAGCTCTGCTCAATGGCGGGCTGAAGACCAAAATTTGCCAACTTTTTGGCTAATCATTCTCCCTGAAGCATTGTGTCTTCAGTCCCAAAGAGCAAAATTTCTGGGACGACATGCGCAACAAACTTGGTGATGAGGTGTCTTATCCAAGCATGAAAGAAGGGCACCGGCCGCAGGCACATGTCTTGATGCGGGGCTTACTTGTTGCCCATGTGGCTGTCGTGCACTTTTACGCAGAGACATATTTGAGTACAGAAGTGCATCAATACATGAATGTATATGTATGGTTGCACCCTCCCCCCTCCTGCAAGCCGAACCCACAGAGGGCCAATTTCATAACCAGCAAGCCAACATGAAATTAATTGTCACCAAACAGAACCCCGGAGCACCACAGGTGCCAACACCCCACAGGACCACAGGGGCGAGGAGCGGGGGAAACAAGATACCCGTTCATGCTTGCAGCTATTGATCGATTGACGAACTGCAAGCCAAACCCACGGGAGGAGCAACTCATCAACCAGCAAGCCAAAATTAGATTTGATTGTCACCGAACAAAGAACCACAAGTGCCAGCGCCATAGGGGGGAGGGGGGAAACAGAAAGAAGATGCAGTCAAAGCTTGTTGTGTGCATGGGTGGGGGTGACCACCTGCAAGCCATCAACCAGCAAGCCAAAATTTGCGTGTCACCGAACAGAATGCTAGAGAACTACAAGTGCCAGCACCATCCAGCACCCCACAGCACCACAGGAAAAGTGTACAACAGTAGACAAGCGAGCGGGCGTCTCGTCTTTTCACCACTCTACGTGCTACTCAAGTATTGATTCCCTAGAACCTTGGGAGCAGCAACAACATGCAGTTGTGCTACATGAACGGTACATGGACTGATAGCAAAGCAACAGGACTGTAACGAACTCAGGCACAAAATTACTGTCATGTTACATAGCTGTCCCGTTGGTCGGCTATCTTGAGCTCTCGGTGTGAAACTGGGCACATCTACAGAAAGGCTAACCTACAGCTGGCAAGTGCAAAGCCCTTACCATCTTGAGGAAGATGCCAAGGGCACACGCATCAAAAACGATGACAGTTACGAGAATGGCGCCTCCAAGGCGCACCATTGCCTTCAAAGGTTTAGTAAGATTTTTTCACCGTAATCATATGTACTTCATGTACGCCAAAATCACTTCATGGCACAAACACGTATCTGAAAGGTCGCAGCTCGGGTCTTTTGGCTTTAGTAAAAATTGAGGAGTTTTATTAGTTGATGGTTGTCGATTTCGCGAAGATTGGACGAAGTGTTGTTTATCCGTGTGGTCTTCAGACAAGTGCTGCCCCTCTGAGCGAGCTCAACTCTAATTACCAAAACTGCCCGACGTAGATTGAGCCAGTTCTTACCCAACAGTTTCTCTCAATAAAATGGATAGGCAAAATCTTGCTCGATCCACTGCTCCTTTTTGGAACCAAATCTACCAAATCAAACTTGCGTAGATTGAGCAAGATCTTCTCCACTTCTTCGTCCAGGGAAAGGACGATTCAACACCTCAAGCAGCACGGTGCTGGCAATTCTCCTCTTTAAGGACATAAAATCAAAGGAACATAAGAGAGAGAAACAGCAAGAGCAAGAAAATCACGAAGCGGCTGAAACATGCGGGACCCTCCAATAAGCGCCCAAACCTTTGCTCAGCTTATGATCCAAAGTCAAGATGAAACTAAACATGCGGTATTGCTGTACCAAGAATACCTGGACAAGACCAAAAGATATCACCAAAGCTCGTTGTCTGCTTTTTTCCCCCACCTTCACAGTCGGCTTGTTAGATTTTAGGGAGTCTATGTTTTCCTCGCCCTCCGCACAGTGCCAACCACAAAGTATCCTTGCAGTGCCCCACATCATGGGGGTTTTTGCGGCCCTTATAACCCCTTGAAAGAGCCCTGTGTGGGCCCTATAACCCATTTCAACGACCCTATATCGTCTATATAGCATCCCTTGAAAGGGATGCTATGTAGGCTTTTTGAACCCTTCAAAGGACCTTAAAGAGAACCCTCACAAACCCGTTAAAAGGACAGTATGTTATCTATTTAACATAATAGGCACCTGTCTTGGACTTTAGATAGCCTCTCTGAACCCTTTAAGCAGACCGTATGTAAGCCTTATGACTCTCTGTAGGTTTTATGCAAAAACCTTTTGTAAAGTCGTGGGAGATTGGCTGAGTAAGATTAAGCCGTATTGGTCAACAACTCCAAGTGCTGGACAACCACGTAGGCTTAGTTCTTGGTGTTGAGGGTTTTGAGTTGAGTGTTTAGAGACTAGGGTCTTTTGTAGAATTTGTTGTTGATGTTTTGCTGTGTTGTCTGCTGTACTTTCGCAAGGCCGCAACTCATTTTCATTAGATCTTGTCAATTCTTCGGTGTTTTGCTGGTGCTTTGGTATTGTATTTGCAATACTTGGCAATAAGTTTTTTTTTTTTTTTTTTTTTTTTTTTTTTTTTTTTTTTTTTTTTTTTTTTTTTTTTTTTTTTTTTTTTTTTTTTTTTTTTTTTTTTTTTTTTTTTTTTTTTTTTTTTTTTTGTTTTTTTTTTTTTTTTTTTTTTTTTTTTTTTTTTTTTTTTTTTTTTTTTTTTTTTTTATTTTTTTTTTTTTTTTTTTTTTTTTTTTTTTTTTTTTTTTTTTTTTTT